AATTAAAATATTTGAAGGAACTCACATGAGATTGCTCTTTTTCTTTGCTGGTCCTAACAGTTACATGAACCGGAGCTAAATCATCTGATGGGATATTTTCTTCATAAATCAGAGGTTTCTGATTTTGCCAGGAAAGGCTGGTTACTGTACCATGGCGGGGGGAAACAACAGGAGATTTGGAGTTCAGTCCTGAATGTTTCCAGCACGCAAACAGATAACCTCACAATCGGCTTAAAGATGAGTTGCTCGGCTCTGTGCAACCTGCCATGCAGCATAAACAGATTTATACTCTCCTCTTTTCATTTGCACGCTCAGTCTCTTCATCCCTGATAATCCACAGTGGTTCTGTGTCTGAGCGGCTCTTTATCAGATGATGCCACAGGTTTAGTGCAGACTGAAACCACTTCCAGTTAATCGCTGCCTTTCAGATACTTCTCATTTTCTTGTCAGTTTCATCCCTGCAGCCAGTTTCTGTTTAACTTTAAAACTTTTCGCTCCTAGATTAGGATGTGTTCTGTTGTGTGACGAGTGGCACGGCTCAGTCGAAGCGCAGAGGGTTGATCAGCCCCAGCTTCAAACAGCTGGGAGCTTCATGTGTGCAGAAGAGAAGGAAGGAGCCCACTGAGGAGGTGAAGCTCAGAGAGTGTTGGACATTCCTATCTGCAGGGTGATTTCAGAACCACTGTTGTGTTAAGTTCTCAAAAAAACAAAAAACAAACAGTAAATGCCAGAACCTTCATGTCCAGCTCAGCTGATTTAATGATTCTAGACATAATACATGTCAATCAGATTTTGATAAAGAACTATTGATCTTTTTTTTTTTTTTGTAAATAAAAAGCACAACACAATCTTCATATCTGTACAACGCTAAATCCTGGATGTATATATTTTTTATGTCATCTCCAACTGTCATGGTACAACTTCACATATCTACCCAGAGTTTGGAGAGCTGTGTGGCTCCTGCCCTCAGGGTCAGCCACTTGGACACACTGCAAAAATGTTCTGAAAATTTCTAAAGAATTCTTAAAATAAGTGTATTTACCCTTAATTTGGGTAGGAAAATAAGATTATTTGCTAATAGAATGAAGATTTCTACCATTAAAATACGATAAATAGTTATTATGCACCCAAAATAAGAGGCTGTGGTTGTTTTTCTCTTATTTTAAATGTAAATTGTCTTTTTCTATTGGCCAAATGACTGTCTTATCTACTCAATAATACATACACTTATTTTAAGAACAAATTACTTTAAATTACTTACATTTTTTTGCAGTGCAGTCAGTATGTCTGTAACCAGTCTTTTCTGATTCCTCCTTGATCCCTTCTGCAGCAAAACTTTGGATCACTGCAAGTGGATGTTTAATGGAAGCTGTGTTTCTGCATCAAGTCATAATGATGTTGGTTTTGTTTTAGTTTTTGAACTAAACTGTAGCCAGTTTTGCTAAATGAGCTGAAATATCCTGATAAATTGTCAAACAATCCCAAACAATTTGGATTGTTGATTTGGAGGTTAATTTAAGTGAAGTCCTTACATTATTATATTACTGAATAGAATCGAATAGAACAGAATAATCCTAATTCAACCCCTAAATCTAAACCAATTAAAGGTCAAGGCTAAAACTTTTTTTAAACCAAATTCATCAATCAAAATAAAATAAGATATTATAGTAGCAGCTGCACTAATCTGTCTGTCGAGAGGGCAAGCCACCTTTTTCTGGTCGATACCAATGGCTTCCAACTTGAAGGAGCTGATCTTCATTCCAGCTACTTGTCACACTGCCGTTAACTGTCCCAGTGCATTTTGTAGCTCTTGACACTTCATAACTCCTATTTAAGAGGAGTTTATAAAGTGTTCACTACATTTAAATCTCTGAACTTTGCAGCATTGTTAACTTTTTCTATAATTTTTTTTTTTTTTTGGCAACAAAATGAGAGAAGCTGGAGTCATAAACAAAAGCCTGATTAATCTTGACCGCTTATAAAGTTCTCCAGCACTAGAACCAGTACTAGTCATAAATATTAAATTCTCTGTGGCGGCATAAGCTTGTCTGCTGGGTACCTGGCAGCGCAGAGCGAAACAGAAAGAGACTGAACAAACTGATGAGGAAGGCCGATTCTGTTCTGGGCTGCACTCTGGACTCGGTGGAGGAAGTGGCTGAGAGGAGGATGCTGTCCAAGCTTACTGTACATCCATCATGGACACCACCTTTCACCCTCTGCTCCAGACTTTACAATAGAGGAGCCAGGGGCGTGCACACATAGACACTAGGTGGTACTAAAGCACTAGGAAGTTTGCCCTCTATCAAAGAAAATGCCCTTTTGAAACTCGTTTTTTTTTTTATTATTATTAATATTATTAAGATTTTACTGAGGTTGGTTTTGAAATGATCTTTTGAAAACCTGAGCCATTAAAAACGACTGAAACAATGCCCCGAAATGACCGACCTACTTGGGCACACCTGACCAGCCTCTCTCTCTTCCTTTGTCACGTGAACTCGCTCGGTCGCCCGCAGGGCATGCCAGATGCGCAGCATCATAGCAGTTCAGTAGCGTCTTCAGATAGCAGGAACGGTCGCTGACAGGCTGCTTCTCCCGTGCCCCATTAGCCAGGTAATATACAGATCAAGCAGAATCATTTTGTTGTGCATTAAAATGTCTCATTCAGCAGCACCAAACACGCATTTTGCCGACTGGTCACCAGATAAACTAGTTGTCTCCTTGTAAGATGCTATTTTACTTTTTATATTTTGTATCCATATTTTTTATCTTAAATGTATACATTAGTCTATTTTATTGCATGACGTATACCCACAGTTTTTAGATATTTTTATAATTTTATTTACCTATTCCATATTATATGTTTCATGTTGCACGATTGTACCATAAAAAATTCCTAGTTTGTGAACTCCTTCACTAACAATGGCAATAAACCTGATTCTGAAAATTTTACACTGTAGCTCAAGTCAATGACAGATAACGTGAGGACGACCACATAGGCTACAAATAATGTTGGTAGAGTTTGCAATTGCAAATCTACGGAAGAGGATTAGGGCCACTGAAAAAAAAATAAGTTAACTGATTTTTAAATTTTATTTCAGTTTAGTATGGGAAAAAAGTCAGAATGCTGACTTTAATCTCATAATTCTAACTTTTTTCTCATAATTCTGACTTTTTGCTGAGAATTCTGACTTTTTGCTCAGTATTCTGACTTTAATCTCAGAATTCTGACAATAAAAAAGTCAGAATTCTGACTTTTTTCCCATGTAAAACTGAAATAAAATTTAAAAATCAGTTAACTTTTTTTTTTTCAGTGGCCCTAATCCTCTTCTGTACAAATCTATGTGTTAAGACAAATATTTTCTGTTGTATAGGTTTTGTTAGGCAACATAAATTAACACATTTTGGTCTCTTTATTGTCTTAATTGTATATTGATTTAGTAATTGCAGCACAATGCCAAGAAAGGAGGGTTAATCATATTGAAAAACCATAAAAGCTGTTCACATTTTATTTTTAAGTGGTTTGTGCAGCAGGTATTAAAATAGCTATTATTTTGTAGGCTACCATAAGTCAGATCCACGTGACAAGTCTTCCAGTCATGTTGCCCTAATAGCCCATTATTTAAACTAATGTGGCATATTTGTTAAAGCTATTATTATTATTATTATTATCATTATTATTATTATTATTGTCATGATGGTTATTATTAATATATTGTAGCCAGTCACAGCAGGGAAGCTCTATACCATCAACATATAACAGGACAGGAGATGAGGAAGAGTTCAGGGAAGACACAGAGACAGAAAAAGACCAGGATGAGGGAGAACAGGGAGATGAGCCAGATGAAAGAAGTATGCTTTAGTCTGTTCTGTTGGTGATGTGACTTTTTTCCATTGAAAACTCACGTTTAGAGAATGTTACAAATAAAAGTCAAATTTCATTCAACATGCGTTTATTTTTTTTTATAATTAAGTGTTACACGTGCGCTAAAAAGTGCCCTCCCCCCCTCCTGAGCACCTGCCCCCCAAAATGTCTGTGCACGCCTCTGAGAGGAGCTAAGCAGGTCCTTTAGCGAAAGACTTTTACACCCTGTTTAGAAATAGGAGCGCTACCGCAGGTCATTCATTCCTGCTGCCACCAGACTCTACAGTGAGACACCACAACAGCAATAACTTGTACAATGTATAATGTGCAATTTACCATTTGATATCCTGTGAAATAACCTGTTTCTCTACATTTAACACCAGGTGCAATAACTATATATATATAATTATAAATATCCATCCATATAAATACCCATATAAACACCCTGTGCTACTATAAAGTATGGAAGCTCATTGGTAGAATTCCCTTATGACAGAAAGAAGTCCACGATTCACACCATTTTATCATCCGGAGGGGGGAAACATTTAATTGCAAAACCGAATTCATACAGCTGTCTTAAAAACTTCATACATTCAGCAATGCATTGTCACGTCTCAGTTATAATTCCCCCAACCTTCAGTCGGTTCAGGCTGCATTTATAGTTTCCACATCGCATTACGTAACTGCACATGCATAGGAATATCATGTCGAAAGCTTACTGGAATTGACGTGGGCTGGTTGGCGTCCAAGTCACTCCGACCCTCAAAGAATGTTTATACAGATGTTCTCTGTTTATGCCAAACTTCCTCATACATCATCTAATTGCGTACGAATAAGGCATTAGGGACTTTATTATTGCTAAGACTCATACTTGAACATGTACTGTTTTGTTGCTAAGTAAGTAAAAAAAAAAAAAGCTTTCATATGGGGATGCATTTTATATACCACATGCTCCTTTTTCTTCTTTAGGCACCTTCTTTTTCTTTGACTATTTGAGCTGATGTAACTAGTAAATTTCTCCACTGTGAGATCGATAAAGTCAATCAAACAATCAATCAATCAATTCATTTAACCAATCATTTTTATCCAGACCATGTTCTTTATGCAAATTGATCTGTTGATAACCCTTTCTCTTCAGGATTACCGTGTAAACATCTTCCTCCGCCAGCAGTGGAACGACCCCAGACTCGCTTATGCAGAGTACCCCGACGACTCCCTGGACCTGGACCCATCCATGCTGGACTCCATCTGGAAACCAGATCTGTTCTTTGCCAACGAGAAGGGAGCCCACTTTCATGAAGTCACCACAGACAACAAACTGCTCAGGATATTTAAGAACGGCAACGTTCTGTACTCTATAAGGTGAGTTCTGCTTCAGGTTGGGATTAGGAGATAGAACAGAAGACTGTAAAATTACATTAGTAAATCCTAGTTTTCTTTACTTTTAATGTTAAAGAGCAGCACAGTGTTTTTTCATCTTAAACATATACAAATCCTGAATGTTTTCATATCCTGCTGGAAACAGGTCCATATGCACCAGCTGCTTTATTAATAAGTATTCTGCTCTGTTGTTATGATTCAACACCTCAATGGTGAATCCATGAAACAATAAAAGAAGGAATATTATTTTATCAGGCTGCATTTTAAATTTTCATCTTTTGTGTCAGCGCCGGATCAACATGCATGATTACCCAAACGCAGAGCACAGCGACCCGTGCAGACTAGAATATCATACAACACATTAACCACCCAACGGCTTTTCTGGGAACACAGGAAATAAATCAGACTAAATTAACATTTTAAATACGTTTAAAAAATTCAAGGAAAAGTTAACATTTACATCCCTGAAGGTTATTTGAACAGTTACTTTGTCTTTGACACCTGAGTCTGGATCAATCTGTTTTATAGCAGCTTAATTCGAGCCCCTCACTGCCTTTAACCTCCACTCTCCTAAAATGTTCTTTGCCTTCAGGCTGACTCTAACTCTGTCGTGTCCCATGGACCTGAAGAACTTCCCGATGGACGTCCAGACGTGCATCATGCAGCTGGAGAGCTGTGAGTCCTGCAGAAACACTCAGACTGTCTCAAATGTAAATCAAGATAAAAGTAGCTGCTGTCTAAAGTCCCATCATGTCATGGAACCAATGAAGCAAATGCTGACGTACCTCTTTAAGAACCCAGTTGGATTCACACATGCTGGAGTGACTCATTTATTCTCCATCCAATCAAAGTTTGTTTTTTCCTGCTGTTTGCAGACGTCTCCAGCCCCCCTGCCCTGCAGTATGACCCCTGTTTAGACCTGCTTCTATATTTCTCCATGTGAGGCACAGCTTATTTTTAACACTCCGTTTGTGCAGCATCACAGTGACTCCTTCATAAAAGACCAGACGATTTTGGTTATGAAAGGATCAGAGCTGTTTATACACACAATGGAGACTTTAGCTAGAGGGATAACCCTGCAAGGCCCTGCAAACACGACATCCGACTAGATGTTTTAATTGATAAAAATTAAATTATCATCACTATGAACCTAATCCATTATAACAACACTAAATGTGCAGAAATGTACTTTTAAACATAGATGTTTCTCTGATTATGAAATTATGTAATACATAAATAATAAATTAATAATTTTTTTATTTATTCTGTACATTTCCATCCATTTTCCGTCACGCTTATCCAAAGCGGGGTCGTGAGGGGTGCCAGTGCCTATCTGCCTACCTGTGTACGGGGGAGAGGCAGGGTCCACCCTGGACAGGCGCCAGTCCATCGCAGGGCAGCTCAGGCCCCGTCCACACGAAGTCAAAACGAACACGAAACGCTAATATTTTCCAGAACGTTTGTCGTAAAGACGGAGACGTAAAAATAGATGTGATCGTCCACACGAATGCATGAAAACGCTGCAAAATGTATGCCAGGCCTGTAAGTGGCGCTGTGGTGCCAAAGCAAAAATAGGCGACGAAATGTTGGGCACGCGCACTAATATTTATACATGGTTGCCCTGCGGGTCCATTTTCGTGGTTCAGTCAAATTCAGGTGCTGAACTATGTCGTCGATATTGCTCTGTTCTTCCTGGAGATATTCCAGCAGAAGAAGATTCTGCTGTAAGCCCGACAGCAGGGTGAGTAGCATGAGCAGCAACCATTCAACACAGTACGGCGCCATTGTTGTTGTGATACTGTGTTGCGCATGCGTGTTTAGAGGCGACGCTATGACGCATGCGTGTAAAAAAAAACATGCGGTTAGAGCTTAAAGATGGAAACGCAAAAATGGTGTTTCAAAATCTTCCCACTCTGAAGGCTGAATAAAAAAAAGATTATTTACAGACCCCCGAAACGCCGGCTTCGTATGGATGAGAGGCTGGTTTGGTGAAAAATTTGCGCGTTTAGGCCAGGGTTTGGCTTCGTGTGGACGGGGCCTTAGTCTTTACATTTCAAAAAAATTTTATTTCAGTTCTTTTCCCAGATATATTTTTTATTTTGTTTACAGATTAGCTTTTTTTATTGTGTTGGGGCGGGCTTTCCTCTGGAGTGAGGAGCAAAGAAGCATTTCTATTGGTCAGCTGGATGTTAGCAACAACCTTTTTATTGGGCTTGAAGTAAAGAGAATGTGGTTTGTAAAATGCTGTTTGAAACGAATTCAACTTTTAAAACTAAATCTGAGAAAAAAGATTTGAAAAAGAAACATCTGAACGTATAAAATAACAAAAAAAAGAAAGTTAGAAAAAAATAAATATGAAAGAAATGTATCAAACAAAACACCACAGTTATTCTTAGGTTTTATTTCTGAACTTTTTTTCCAGATTTCTATTATAACTCATTGCATGAATTAATAATGGAACATCATTAATTCCATTCCAAACCCTCTGACCCCCAGCAGCTGGCAAACCAGGTTAAGTATCTTACTGAAGGGAACCGGGGTCGAGACGGATGGAGTGGGGGCTCAAAGCAGCGCCCCACAGGTTACAGGAACAGCTTAAAGTCCTACCAGATCTAACAGAACAGATGCTTCATCTATCCAAGAGGAAAAAGTCAGTAGTCTGAACTGTTCAGGGAAATCTAAACGTCTCATTTCTGGGGTTTTGAACCACAGGAAGGGGATTGGGTCTCAGGGAAACCCCTTTGGAACCAGAGCTGCATGGAGATCAGTATGATGAGCAGGGAAGCGATGCCTGACGGAGCGTGTTGGATCTGTGTGCGCTGAGAGCAAAGAGCTGTGAAAGAAGCATGTTCAGCTTTTTCTCCATGCATTAAACGCTCAGTTTCACAAACCCAACAGTGCACATCTAAGCAAACCACAGGACAGATCTTCATCTCACAGCCTCACCACAGTAACCTCTGAAAAGAAATCTACAGTTAGACATTAATGTACATTTTGAAATGTAGGATTTCATGAAAAAAACAACACATACTTTTGCCACGTTTGAATCCCCCAGAGCGAATGTGTCTATGCACAAATTCTAAATCAAATGTGTTGGTTTTAAGGGGAATTTCACCAAATTCAAAGCACATTTAATGTGAAACTGAAAAAAACTGTATGAAATATTTAAAACTGAACTATTAAGCATTAAGAATATATTTAACTTTTTTTATAGTTCAGTTCTCGAATTCAGTTTCAATTCTCGCATTCAGATGTTTCCTTGCCACACATCCAGGTCCTTGAGAAAGACCGGCGTAATCGGACACAGATTCACATCATGTCAAATAACAAGCAGCAAAAGTCTCAGGTTTGAATTAAATTTATTCCATACATAAGAAGCTTCAAGTAATCAAATGTCTTTGTGTATCTGGGCATATAAGGGTTGTGGTTCTATCCAATAATACAGTACATACCAGTGGCTGCTACTTTAGTATGACACTGATTTTATGACATATTTTTTCACTTTTTTGAACCTGTCAAATGTGGAACAATTCTTCACTGAAGAAGTTTAAAAGGTGTTCTGTCCTGCACAAATTAGGATGTCTGGTCACCCTCATGTGGAGCCATAAATATTGTAAGATCTGTTGGACACTATGCTAATCTAGGGTCCTAAGCTGAGAAAAACATATAGCATTGCTGTTACAATCAGGGTCTGATTTGTTTAACTGATGCTTCTCATGCAGCTGGGCAATTTATTAATAACCTGAGCGTTTTGCTTCTGGTCATTTCCCTGATGTCATCAACCAAGCTCCACTTTTCCAAGTCTAAATACAGCTACATAGCTGCAATCTGTGTTTGATTAGAAGAAAGAAAAAAAAAATCTGAATTTTGCAATTGAAATTAAATTCCAGCTCTGAAAGAGAAAAAAGTTAGTTATTTTCAAAGTGAAAAAATATAATCTCAAAACAAATTTGTCCAGTTTAATATCATTGAATACATTTATATCCAGTTCTCACATCATCCACCCATCAATCCATTTTCCGTCACACTTATCAAGATGGGTGCTGGTGCTTATCTCCAGCTGTCTAAAGGCGAGAGGCGGGGTACATGCTGGACAGGTCGCCAGTCAATCACAGAGCAACACAGAGACAATCATTCACCCCTAAGGAGAATTCAGAGAAGCCAATAAACCTAACAGCAGAGATGGGAAGTAATAAAGTACAAATACTTCGTTACTGTACTCAAGTAGATTTTTCTGATATTTTTACTTTACTTTACTACTTATTTTTATGGCGACTTTTTACTTCTACTTCTTACATTTTTACACAAATATCTGTACTTTTTACTCCTTACATTTAAAAAAATTGTCTCGTTACTTTAGTTTTGAATCATTTCAATTAAGTTACCGTTATTATTTTTCACGTCATCAATACCAAATTCAATCTAATTGGATGGGAATCTACGTTGCATTTGACGCAGCACTACAAGATGAATCGACAGATTCGGCGGTATTCATTCGCGACAAATCATTGCAGCTTGGTGGCGGTGGCGTTAGCATAGTAGCATGGACGACGAGATGATTGAAAATGAACACAACGGAGATCTAGTCCTATTGGCAGACATCCATTTAAAATGTAGGCAACGGCATGAAAAAAGTGGTTTCTACTTTTACTTTTATACTTTAAGTAAATTTACAAGCCTGTACTTTGTTACTTTTACTTGAGTAAAGAAGTTTAATCAGTACTTCCACTTTTACCAGAGTATTTTTTAACACAATTATCTGTACTTTTACTCAAGTACGGAAAGTGAGTACTTTTGCCATCTCTGCCTAACGGTCATTTTTTTGGACAGTGGGAGGAAGCCGGAGTACCCAGAGAGAACCCACGCATGCTCAGGGAGAACATGCCAACTCCATGCAGAAAGACCCCAAGGCCAGGAATCAAACCCGCAAACTTCTTGCTTCAAGGCAGCAGTGCTACCCACTGCACCATTGAGCAGACGAATTAATACATATTTTTAGTTCCACATTATTAAATACATTTTATTCAGTTTCACATTATCAAATATGGCTTATATTTTGTGAAATTTACTTTCAAAATTTGGAAGTTTGCATGTATTGATTTTCTTTGGTTAATTCCAATTCTGTTTCTGATGGTACAAGTTTCATGTGATACTTAAATCTCAATAAACAATTTTAGTTTTAGTCTGAAACCATGTCACTTTACTCTTTTCTAAAAGGATTTATAAGAGGATAATTTTCTGAGCGCAGCTCTTAATGGAATGCTCTGGATTAGATGATGCAAGTTTTTCTAAGGCCAGTCCTGATACCGTTTATTCTGACATCATTTTAAGCTGAATCTTGAAGCCATTATGCTTTCTCTACTTCCATTTCCATTATAAAAATTGCACAATGAAAACAAATGTTAGACAATTCTCCATTCAAAAAACGATAGGGTTAGGGTTAACATAAACAATGGATAGCAGATGGAGGCCAGAGCTCCATATGATCCCCAATCATGGCTGCAGAAGGTACTGATGAATAATTATATTGATTCAAGACTAAAACAATAAGCCAAGCAATGTATCGGTCTGTCTCTACTGTGAGTGATACTAGCACTACATGTTATTCTGATTCAAATCAATCCATTACAAAAGTATGGATAGAGTTGGTGGAGGATCTTGATGAGGAGGTGTTGCTTCCTCTGAAGAAGATTGTTTGGTTCTAAAAACATCTGAAACTTTTTAAGAAGCTGCAGGCATCTCTCTCTGTTTTGTTGTTTTTCATCTTGGTTTAAAAAACAACAACTTTTTTTTCACTTCAGGATTTATCTCCAGAAACAGGACAGCGTGCATCCTTAATGCATGGCTGTAGGCCTGTACCAGCACCACCCGCTGGTTTCTGCTTTCACCTGGAAGCCCTGCAGAGCTCTGCCTGCACGTCAGCATACTCACCCTTTGGTTGGTAACTTGAACAGGTCAGCGGCATCTGAGGGAGGAACTATTTCTTCCTCTGTTTGCCCAGAGCATTGCATCAACATCACAAAGAACATGTTTGTATTTTCTAGCTGCAGAGATTTTACTGAATGCAGGCAGTGGCACGGGAAGGGGGGTGCTGCGGGGGCTGCAGCCTCCCTCGTCATAGCATCAGCCCCCCATGGTGGGGGGCTGTGGAGTAACATAATATTGTACTTAAAAACATGAAATTATTTATGTATTTATTTTTTAAAAGACTGTGTTTGATATGGGATTAAAATGATGGGCTGTGTATCAGATATAAACTAATGATTCATTATTTTAATATTTCATAAAAAACTAGGCTACTCCCCCGGAAGCTTCCGCCACCTCACATTCGTTTAGGCATGGCTAGCAATAGGCAGCAGAAACGTATTTCTAAATATTTCGAGGTAAGAAATGGTTTTAATTCCCCTATACTGCCGCATTTAGCGTTATTTATGTGCCTATTCGTCTTAGTCCTGTGGCTGAAGAAGTCTACGCTAGAATAAGGCTGCATATCACTAAATTTTATGTCTGTATTAAGCTATTTAGTGATAAAATATGAAATTAGTTAATTTTTTTTTTGTGTGTGTTTTTTGTTTCAGATATGAAATCATTCCCCCATATCCATAGTTGAATGGACTTTCAAGACGTTCAATGCTCAGTTTAGGCTAAATTTAGGCCATGTTTCATTCAAGTATTCCTGATCCTCTTGATTGGGAGCTGTTGTTTGTTTTGAATGATTAAAAGAGAAGAAATAAAGTTTAAAATGTTCATGCTTTGTTCCGATGCATTTTAAATGGCAGTTTTTGGCGACAAATGTAGGCCTACAATATTATGTTAAAAACGTCAGTCACAGCCCTCAACATAATGACGTCATGTGTTTTCCAACCCAGCCATCAGCCCCCCTCGCTTGAAACAGCTTCCAGCGCGCCTGAATGCAGGACTCAGTGAGTGGGAATCAAACCACTTTCCTTTAGTGCTGCACATCTCAGGTTCAGACAGTTTATGTCTTTCCACCTGGTTTATGTTCATGATAAAAATTCTAAAATACACAGAATTTTGATTCTGAGGTTTATATTGATAAATCAGGAGTTTAAAGTTGGGAGGTTTTATTGTAGGCCACCATTAAAGGTTCTCTGTCACAAGTTAGTGTGTGATATAAGACTCAATACTGGATGGAAAACAAGACAAAGAGATATCAACTGCAAAGTTAGCAAAGATAAAGCCATGTTGTGGGGCTGTGTGATGCTTTAATCCTGCAGACAGATGGTCACAGACTATCCAGAACAGAAATGGGTAACTGAAAGGCCAGAGGCCTGCAGGGTGCAGCATGAACTCAGTGAAAAGCTGAGGAGATCAGTCTCATCCAAGTCTGGCATTGTGAGAAAATATCAAAATTAAGGAGGAGCCCTCATGGGATTTTCTTGTTTGAACAACAGTAAGAGCTCACACAAAATTGTAGCCACTTTCACTTCTTGACGCCAAACACCAAACTCAACAATTTATTATTTTAAATATTCAATTCTCAGGTGATGAAATCTTTACCAAATGTGAACCTCATTTCAAGAACCATCCATTAAATATTTTTTTAAGGATTCTATAACATTATTTGGCAGAACAAGCAGTTCCTCGCTTAACTAGAGAGTGGCAGCAGTGACCAATCACAGCTTTAGTATCGGACACAAAAAGTCCAGAAGTACTATACTGAAGGCAAAAATACAGGAACGGTGAGCTATGCTTCACTGGAAGTCTCGATCTGCTGGTCAAACAAGAAAGCAGAGTGAATGAAGAAGTTGAGAACAGAACAAACACCTGAGGCTGCAGACATATGATGTGCTTTATTTATAAAATTATTAAGGGATTTTAAGGAAATTGTTACCAAAGGTGGACCTAAAGGAAGAATTTTTTAAAATTTGGTAACGATCCAGATTGTGTGCGAGTTTTATCCATAGGTGTAGATCACAATTGGGGAGTGTTGGCATAGGGGTTAGAGCAACGAGCTTGAGCTCTGAGAAAGTTGTAAGTACCTTGTTACCTGGTTCGACCCCACAGCCTGCACTCTGACTCCTTGAGCAAGACCCTTAACCCTACACTGCTACACGTATGCCGCACAATTGCAGCCCACTGCTCCCCAAGGGGATTGGTTAAATGCAGAGAGTGAATTTTGTTGCTCACTACTTGTGATGGTGTAATGACTATAAAGTTGAATTCTATATTGAGCAAAATTTGCTGCTTAGCAGAAGTCTGAGCTCTGCAGGCGCCTTTCTAGTATTAAAAGACACTGTAATCAGCCAGATAAAATCCATCATCTAGATTTTATTACCAAACTGTACAGATTGCTGATAAATTTAATATTATTTATATTTTAAAAGATACAATTACAAATACTTTGGGTCAAACCGATATTGACAAATCATGCTATATAATAGAGAATAAAATTATAAAAGTGAAAGAATAAATGTAAGTAAAGCTTCATGTATATTGGTTGGATTTCTCTCAAATAATTTGAATCATTATGAGAAACACAAATTTTGGCCACCCTCTCTCTTTAGGGCAGGTCTGGGGCCCCTCACACCTGCCATTGAGCAAAACCTACTGTTGTAGGAAAACCTGCTGTTGTCTGAAAACCTTATATACACAAGCATATGCTTGCATATACAACACAGGCATTTGGATCCAGGTGTTCACAGATGGACAATGCAAAGCTGCAGTTTCAAACTTATATAGGTCAACATACTAGGGATGCATGATATAATTGGCCCACTATCGGTATCGGCCTGTATCGGCCTTAAAACTGAATATCGGACATCGGCCACCCCACCGATATTTAACCCGATATTTGGTCAGCTTCTGAGTTTCTAAAGTCAAAAAAAAAATAAAAAATACTACTTCTTCTTCTTCCTCAAAAACTTCTTTTTTACAGACTTAAAAACGTCTAAAGACGAGGGTAAAAATATTGATACATTAAAATATCACAATATCTTCATATGCTGATATATTGCCATTTAAAAACACCATATCAATCTCTTTTACTAATGAAATATTGCTATATGTCATCGTTATGCTACGAAATCCCCCGAAAATTCACAAAATTTTGCCATATTTTTATATGTTGATATATTGACGCGGTATCGATCTATTTTACAAACAAAATCTCACAAGAATTTGCAAAATATCATGAGAGTTTGTAACAGAACGATGAAATTTCAAGAGATTTTGAAAGTAAAATAGATCGATACCGCATTTTTAAAAATCGATTTGATATCAGCATATGAAAATATATTTGAGTATATTATTTTTCAAAGTGTCAGAAATGGATAACAGAACTGCTATTTTCATTGACTACCATACCATACCATACCAACTTTATTTATGAAGCACTTATGAACTACTTATTTTTGTCGAGCTTCAACATCGGTATCGATATCGGTTATCGGCTACATGAGTTTTAAAATATCGACATATCGGATATCGGCCAAAATCGCGATATCGTGCATCCCAACAAAATGCAATCGTATTCAAAGGTTTCCATACATGTATTTACTGCTTGGCCATGGAATACTTCTTTTGTCATGTCTGAAGTATTGTTTGATGTGTTTTTTGTCCCATCTTTTCCTTCTCAATTCTTCCAGTATGGTCCTAGAAGAGTCTCAGTATGCACAAATACACAGCACAAAATCCATGCACCCGCAGGACAAGATATAAAAATGCACACATTAGATCGACATATGCACGGTGTGTGAATGTGTGGATCTTATCCTGTGTATTGGTGGATATTGAGACTCTTATAGTTCCATAATCCACTTCCAATAAGGTTTCATACACAGTTTACGAGCAGAATCTGATGGCAACGGCAATGATGGTCTACTTGTGAAAGCAAATCTGTTAGGACTGCTATGCAGCATCGGTACACCTGTTCTCAGTACAATGTTGGCAAACGGGACACATCAAAAATATGTATTGGTTTGATCTGTTTGTTTTGCCTTTTTTCCAGTCGGTTATACCATGAACGACCTGATCTTCGAGTGGCAGGAAAATGGCCCGGTCCAGGTGGCAGAGGGCCTCACGCTCCCACAGTTTATCCTCAAAGATGAGTCGGACCTAAGATACTGCACCAAGCACTACAACACCGGTAAACACACACAAACACACAGCCCAGGGCGTCTGGACATAGGTAACACTCTCAGAGCCAAACAGCTGCCATGTTTCATCAGTCCTGTTGGTGCCGCCGGCTGTGAGGAGGAGAGGCGTCCAGTAGAATGATTTTATTAGATGCGATCAGAACGCAGAGATCGGGCCAGCGTGGATGAGGTGTTGGTGACCTCTAGCCTTTTATGGTATCAGCGACAGTTTGGTTCTGCAATTATTTAGACAAGCAGCGCTGGTTTCACTTGTCAGTTGGAAGAGGTCCAGCAGGACCATCAGCTCTGCTCAGGCAGAAAGCAGCAGGAGGTTCTGCCTCGGTCACAAATGGTTTCATCCTGTTTGTTAAAAACACCTGCAGCTACAAACGGGAGCTTAACCAACCCTCAGAAACTTAGATGACTCAGTCTGAAAAAAACAAAAACAAAAAAAAGGATCCTCAGGTAAAATAATTTATCAGAACGTTGTGGATCAGACCTGCAACTTCATTTAGAATCACATACAGCATGCCTGTCTGATGCTCTGTATAGTTTATGCTGCTTCTTTCACTGATCAGTAACTCGTAGATCTATAAACGTTTTATTTTATTAACTATGACTGAATTAAGATGTGAAAAAAATGTTTTCAGAATTCAGCAAACTGAAAAGAATGTTTAATCAGTCCCTAAAGAGCAACAGACATGAAACTGTTTAGTTTGTATGAAGTCAGAATTCACCAAAAGTGCACATGCATAATAAATATTGATATTATTAAATATTGAGCAGTTTTAGTTCAAACACGCACATAAACTACTCTCCATGTACATTTTGAGAGATATATGCTCATTGATTTAAAACCATGATCCCCTACATCTCAAGCATCAGCCTATGCTCCTTCTCTTGTAGATCCTCTCCTACTTACCTGTGAACTTGTTTCTCTGTGCTAATGTCAACTTTTCTCACTTTGTGGGTGAAACAAACTTAAGAAAGTAAGCTACCTGTGATTAGTTATTTTTCAAGATATCTCAGCTCTACTGTTCCCTTCATAGTAGCAGCTAGTAATAAACAGAGATGGCAAAAGTACTCACTTTCCATACTTGAGTAAAAGTACAGATACTTGTGTTAAAAAATACTCTGGTAAAAGTGGAAGTACTGATTAAACTTCTTTACTCAAGTAAAAGTAACAAAGTACAGGCTTGTAAATTTACTTAAAGTATAAAAGTAAAAGTAGAAACCACTTTTTTCATGCCGTTGCCTACATTTTAAATGGATGTCTGCCAATAGGACTAGATCTTTGTTGTGTTCATTTTCAATCATCTCGTCGTCCATACTACTATGCTAACGCCACCGCCACCAAGCTGCAATGATTTGCCGCGAATGAATACCGCAGAATCTGTCGATTCATCTTGTAGTGGTGCGTCAAATGCAACGTAGATTCCCATCCAATTAGATTGAATTTGGTATTGATGACGTGAAAAATAATAACGGTAACTCCATTGAAATGATTCAAAACTAAAGTAACGAGACGATTTTTTAAATGTAAGGAGTAGAAAGTACAGATATTTGTGTAAAAATGTAAGGAGTAGAAGTAAAAACTCGCCATAAAAATAAGTAGTAAAGTAAAGTAAAAATATCAGAAAAATCTACTTGAGTACAGTAACAAAGTATTTGTACTTTGTTACTTCCCATCTCTGGTAATAAATGTGAATAATATAAGTGAAAATATTGAATCTACTTATGCATAAAAGAAACCTACATGGTATGGGGCCTCATGGTATTAAATCTGCACACATAAAACATTCAGAATATGTGTGGGGATTAGTTTACGTGTTTGAACTGTTCTTAACTGTTCGTTGGAACATGAATTAATTGTGTGCTTTTTTTGGCAGAACTCTGACTAAATAGCTTCTGACCCAGATTGATCGTGTTTACCGAAGCTTTTGGGACATTTTTATCCTATTCTAGTTTAGACCAGATTCTTACATCTTCTAATGAAGCCACTTTTTTAATTAAAAGGTCAGTTCAGATAAATCTCAAAGGAATTGTCCAATTATAACCTGATGCGTTTTAGGTAAATTCACCTGCATCGAGGTGCGTTTCCACCTGGAGCGACAGATGGGTTACTACCTGATCCAGATGTACATCCCTTCTCTGCTTATCGTTATCTTGTCCTGGGTTTCATTCTGGATCAACATGGACGCTGCCCCGGCGCGGGTGGCACTTGGCATCACCACCGTGCTGACGATGACCACGCAGAGCTCTGGGTCCAGGACGTCACTACCTAAGGTCTGTCAGGGTTCGGGGCTTGTGCAGGTTTTCTCCAGGTTATGTTGTTCTTTCGCAGCCAACTCCTCAAGAAGACTCCATCTTAGGAAGAGAACTTCAGGACAGTTCCTAGCTGGATTCATCACTTGGGGGTTAGGAGATAGAAAGGAGACAATGACAAAACATTTTCAGTCTGCTTCATCACCTGTAACGAGATGAAAAAAGAACAGCACAACCAAAAGACATGGTACGAGACATACAATAAAGCAACACCTTGAAACTATCGCTAAAGTAATATTATTAAGTCTGACATGTACTCTGTGTTACCTGAAGATATGAATGTGGGCTTTCTGTATTTTCATGCATTCTGAGTTATTATTTGTAAATGCTTTAAAGCGAGTTTTTAGAGTCTAAACCTGGCTCAAAATCTATATTTACCTCGGATGTGTATTACATATTTCCACAAGTTTACCCATATGTACCATACTTGTATCAAATCACTCTTGAACCAGAGTCAGAATTTACATTTCTAATTGAATCCTTTTTTAAATTATTTTAGGAATGTGCATCAGCATAAAGGTTATTTACACATGAATGGTGCAATCAGTGGTTAGGGAAGAGGACGCCAGGGCGGCAGAAGCTTGGTTTGGTGTAGAAGGCTTCCAGCCGTACATGTTTGAGCCCTTGCCTCGCAACACTGCCAGTTCTGTTAGCTCTACGCCTGCTGAAGACACAGACGTCCATCCCCGTGAACACTGGGACATGACTCAGTGGTAAAGTAAATAATGATTCCTTTTCTTATTTCAAGCGTTGCATATATTAGCTGCGACATATCAATCAAGATGCTATGACAGAAGAAATTTGATTGACAGATGACCGTTGATTTATGATTGGCTGAATTTAGGTGTACAGGCTGACGTATAACTAACTGGCCTGCATAAGATAATGAGAAAAAAAACTGATTTTAAGACAGGATTTTTTTCAAACTAGAGATTTTTTAAATTTTGGGACAATATCGTCCGATAAAGAGTACATTTATATACATGTTTAAGCCAGAATGATTTGACATTTAAATATGATTTCCCTATGACTTTAATTGTTTGAAAATAAACTCATAAAGTCCAGTAGTTAATGGACTTTATGAGAAGGGAAGCCATGTTTCCCTGAGTCACATTCTGAAACGGACATCCATTTATGGCACAATCTCCTCTGCTCCAAAACAGTTTTCCGTCTATAGAAAGAAGGATCTAGAAAGTCAGGAGAGTCTTTTGAGAACTTTTCTCTATGATGAGTATGGAGACCAAATAGAGATCTTCAAATTCCCTGATTATCTAACTGGTTCCTTCCGCCACATAACCTTACAGGTGAAGAGCAACTGGGGCAACCCTGACTATACATGCCATCATCAGGCTAATGTTATAAGCATGAGTTTGGCATCAGCAAAGTGTATGTTAAGAATGCTGTTTTTTTTTCTGACCAGGTGGTCATTTGCGTCAAAACAGATTTAGAAGTAAGAGGAAAAATGAAGGTTTTCTTTAACCTTCAGGTGAGACTTCCAGTATTCACCGGAAATATGGCATCACAAAAATATGGCAGGAAAATGCTCTTGACGAGATCTGTGCGGAACATAAGAACATCAGCTGGAATGACATTATAAAGTGAAAATGCAGCTATTCTGTAGAGAAAAGCTGCTGTCTGCCTGTTCAGTGATGGCCTGCACTGCCTCACTATGACCACATGATGGGGATGTGGAGCTAGTTTTGAAATGATCTGTTTCTGATTCAGTTTCTAATAATAAACTAAAAATATTTCTGTATGTAGAACATGTTGTGTAGCCAGTTCTTCTTCATCTGGTCCTACTGGATCATCCCTGCCCTGAGTTGGACTTTTGTAAACCTTATCTGTGTGTTTTGGTGGGATGTAGGGAAAAGATGATGCAGGGATGGGAAATGTGTCTCTCTGTGGCAGATGTGATTTATTCCCCAGTGTGATGAGACCTGAAAGGCCTCCTTTTTATGCCTTCATTATACTAATGGATGTTTTGCATGGGCAAGCATGAGCATGTGTTGATTCCACACATCATGTATCTACTGAAGCGTGAGCGGCAAACGGCCCCTCAGTCCTGTTCTGGTATCTTGCATGCATGAGGAAAAATCAGACGCGTTGCATAACACATCCCAGCCTCTAATGCTGTGCTCATACAAATGATAGACGTCCTCAGAATGAACATGTGTGTTTTAAGGAGGTTTCTCATGTTTTTGTTGCTGAACAGGACTTTGCACTCCGTGATGTTACATGCATTGGAATTCTGCATTAATTCATGCAGAAATGAAGTTACATGTCTTTGACACATTCAGGCATCGGATTGGTCAGCACTTAAATAAGAAATTATGACTCGAAAATGGATGTAGCACTGATCAGAGCCTCAGTGATGTCTTTTTGAAATTTCTATAGCAGATTTATTCTACAAAAACAGGTTCTACAGGCTGCTGGTTGAGGTTCTATAGGCTGCTTGATGAGGTTCTACATGCTGCTGGATGAGGTTCTACAGTCTGCTGGATGAGGTGGTACAGGTTGCTGGATGAGGTTCTACAGTCTGCTGGATGAGGTTCTAAAGGCTGCTGGATGAGGTTCTATAGGCTGCTGGATGAGGTTCTATAGGCTGATGGATGAGGTTCTACAGGCTGTTAGTTGAAGTTCTAAAGGCTGCTGGATGAGGTTCTACAGGCTGCTAGTTGAAGTTCTACAGGCTGCTGGATGAGGTTCTGCAGTCTGCTGGATGAGGTTCTATAGGCTGATGGATGAGGTTCTACAGGCTGTTAGATGAGGTTCTAAAGGCTGCTGGATGAGGTTCTATAGGCTGATGGATGAGGTTCTACAGGCTGCTAGTTGAAGTTCTAAAGGCTGCTGGATGAGGTTCTGCAGTCTGCTGGATGAGGTTCTATAGGCTGATGGATGAGGTTCTACAGGCTGCTAGTTGAAGTTCTAAAGGCTGCTGGATGAGGTTCTGCAGTCTGCTGGATGAGGTTCTATAGGCTGATGGATGAGGTTCTACAGGCTGTTAGATGAGGTTCTAAAGGCTGCTGGATGAGGTTCTATAGGCTGATGGATGAGGTTCTACAGGCTGCTAGTTGAAGTTCTACAGGCTGCTGGATGAGGTTCTGCAGTCTGCTGGATGAGGTTCTAAAGGCTGCTGGATGAGGTTCTACAGGCTGCTAGTTGAAGTTCTACAGGCTGCTAGTTGAAGTTCTAAAGGCTGCTGGATGAGGTGGTACAGGTTGCTGGATGAGGTTCTACAGGCTGCTTGATGAGGTTCTACAGGCTGCTGGTTGAGGTTGTACAGGCTGCTGGATAAGTCCTACAGGCTGCTGGATGAGTTCTACAGGCTGCTGGTTGAGGTTCTACAGGCTGCTGGTTGAGGTTCTACAGGCTGCTGGTTGAGGTTCTACAGGCTGCTGGATAAGTTCTACAGGCTGCTTGAGGAGGTTCTACAGGCTGCTGGATGAGGTTCTACAGGCTGCTGGATAAGTTCTACAGGCTGCTTGATGAGGTTCTACAGGCTGCTGGATAAGTTCTACAGGCTGCTGGCTGAGGTTCTACAGGCTGCTGGATGAGGTTCTACAGGCTGCTGGATGAGGTTCTACAGGCTGCTGGATGAGGTGCTACAGTCTGCTGGATGAGGTTCGACAGGCTGCTGGATGAGGTTCTACAGGCTGCTGGTTGAGGTCCTACAGGCTGCTGGATGAGGTTCGACAGGCTGCTGGATGAGGTTCTACAGGCTGCTGGTTGAGGTCCTACAGGCTGCTGGATGAGGTTCGACAGGCTGCTGGATGAGGTTCTACAGGCTGCTGGATGAGGTTCTATAGGCTGATAGATGAGGTTCTACAGGCTGCTGGTTGAGGTTCTACAGGCTGCTGGATGAGGTTCTATAGGCTGATAGATGAGGTTCTACAGGCTGCTGGTTGAGGTTCTACAGGCTGCTGGATGAGGTGCTACAGGCTGTTAGATGAGGTTCTAAAGGCTGCTGGATGAGGGTCTACAGACTACCCCAGTTTTTAATGCCTGCTTATTTTGGTCTCTACAAGCTGATGAAGGAAATGTGTCTCCCTTCTAGATAATGAGAGTTACCTTTTCACAAACTGACATTTTTCTTTTTTTTTTTTTTTATTTGTTTGGTTTTGTTTTGCTCTTTGTTTCTTTGTTCTGGAAATCTGGCAGTATGATCATGTTCTACAATGTAAGTGGTGAATGCTTTAGTTCTCACCCAGAAAACCTTTTTTCAGACTGCCTGCTCCTGCTTTCAGGTCTTCTGTGATTGTTTGTGTGTTTTCAGGTCTCCTATGTGAAGGCCATCGACATCTGGATGGCTGTGTGTCTCCTGTTTGTCTTCTCTGCCCTGCTGGAATACGCAGCCGTCAACTTTGTGTCAAGACAACACAAAGAGCTGCTGCGCTTCAGGCGGCAAAACAAGAGCAAGAATAAGGTACGTTCTTGACCAACGAGGCTTACGGAGAGTTAAAGACTCTTGCAGCACACACACACACACCAACCCCTTCTGGATGTACTCTGCCATCACACTGCTTGGTTCAAAGATAATCTTGGATGAGGTGGAAATCTGAAATGTTAAATCCTATACATCCCTGATGTGTGCATGTTTCCTGTGTGTGTGCACGATCCAGTTTAAGTTTAATTGCATCTCTGTGCGTTTTAACTCTCCACAGCTGTGTTATTTCTCTGACAGAAGGCCATCCAAACAAAGGATGAGCATGTTGTCAGTGCATGTTTGGGATCTCTGTTTGGAAAGGATCAACCCTGCATTCAGTCAACCCTCTTTTTTCAATCAGATCTTGACGTCTGAAAAGCTTTTCTTACAGACAGGGATAAAAACCAGATGGCTGCCTGAACTCTTAGATGTTTTGATTTGTTCCTTTGGTTCCTTGAGCAAGTCTTAGATTTTTGGGCACATTTAATGAAAACAATAACATAACATCATGTGAAACCCATAAGAACTAAAACAGTCAGAAAGCTAGCTACAGAATTTTCATGCACATTTCTTTCTTTTAAACAGGCATCACGAATACAAATATGCTTTATTGTGTAGTTCTACAGCCTGGGGTCAACTTTTCTGAAGTAGAAAAGTTTAAAGAAAACCTTTCCCTTTATTTTGGGGGTAGAAACATTTTAGATTTACTCCTGAAGGAATTCCAGACTCCATCAAATCTCAGAAAATTAAAGTAATATTGGTGTTAAATACAGGCAATGTACTCCTGAGGACAAAGACACTGAGACTTGTCCAGAGGAAGTAACCTTCAGAAATCATTTCATCCGCATTTGTACAGGTACATTTACATTTAGATATTAGGCCTAATTTAAAGACTGAAATATAAAAAAATAGACCCAACTGCAACTCTTCATTGTTTGGTATCAAAACCATCTGAATGATTTTAGGTGTTAAGAGAAGACAGAGGATCATGAGAGGGTGAGAAGAGGATCAAAACAACACTTTCTGAAATGTATTTCAGCCCTGAAATCTAAAATGTTGAATCAATTCTCAGCAGCTCAGTGATTCTTGAAACCATTTGCTACTAGACCCTTTATTTAGCAGAGCAAAGATGACCCAGAATCACACCCCTGTGGAACTCCATTAGCCGTTTGCCAACTGGTTGAAAACCCAGTGTTGACTAAACGACCGGATGATCCATTGCTGTCTGTGCACATCATGTGTTTCTTCTTTCACGATTCCGTCTGTTGACCACTACTGTTGCATGCTGACGGCCGGTAGAACGGCGGCGTCGATCCGGAGGAGCTAGCCGAGTCCCTGCGCCGCATTAGCGCCGACAACGGCTTCAAACCGGCAGAGCCTCTATATGGATCAATGAGCAACATCTACAGCAGTCCCCACAGGGTAAAGCCACTGTGCATGTGTTTGTGCACGTCTGCATGTGTCGATGTGATGATCTGACCAAGCCGCTGTATGTGTCTCCTCATAAATCTGCGGTTTTATTATGTTTCCTTCCTTTTTATCTGAACTCTGTAGAATTTAATGTCTGGGATGAATCAGTGGCTTTATTAAGAACAAATTGAGTTAAACTTCATATCTAATTAAAAACTAGCAGCAGAATACTTTTTTTCATGTGACTTTATAAAACAGAACAAAGCACTTCAGGGGCTGGGGCAAGGTGCAGCAAGGACTACAGACAGAGTGCCCCCTACTGGCCAGAAACAACAGGCATCAGTGAGCTACTATTTCTTTAATGGACCCTCCATGTCTGCCAGATATATGGATCACTGCGTTCAACAGTCAGATGATGAGATTATTCATATACCTGCAATAAACTGCTTATGTTATGGTACCTGCAAAAGTGAGAACACAAAGTAATATGCAATGTATTTACAGTGAAGGTGTAATTTAATAATTCAACCGCAGCAGAAAACTGCAAAAAATAACAACAAATAAAATAACTGACATAAATAAGAATAATAAATTGTTGAAAAACAGCTATAATCAAAAAAATTATAAAATTTTATAAATATGAAAAAAATATTTTAATCAGAAGTTATCTAAGACCTGATCAGAAAGAGTTTAAGAACAAAATTTTTATTTTGATAATTAGTCCCTAAACTAGACATACTGTATGTAAGTATTACTGGAAAAAGTAAACTACTTTTACCCACATATTGAATATTTTCCTTAATACTCCTCTCACTCCTTCAGACCTCTGCTTCCTGGCTTCTATGCTGCAGGTTCCTGTATTCTATCCTTTTAAAGGATAGTACACCCAAAACATGATTAGCCTTCATTTTCTACTCACCCCCATGCTGAACAACACTCTGGAGTACTTTTTTGATATCTCAAATGCATCTGGAGATCTGGGAGGCTTCTTGCTGTCTGCTGACATTCAAATAATGGAGGTCTATGGTGCCTGAGGCAGAAAGGTCCATAAAAGTCCACAAAAAACGTCTCAATATTCCTCCATACTGCTCGTCCAATGTATTCCAAGTGTCCTGAGTGGGTAGCGTCCATAATTTACTCGAAACGAAGTCATTTAGAATGTTTTTAGAGCATAAACAGTAGTGTATAGGATTTCCTAAAAGCGCGTTCAAGAGTCTACGGAAACCGCGGCAGACCAAACCAGATGAAAGTGCGCATTCAGCTCGGCAAAGAACTCATGCTCTTCCTCAACACTGAAGTCCTCAGACATTTTTCTTTCGTTGTTTCTTTCTTTGCACAGGTAAACAGCACATTTCTTCTTCTACACTTGCATTATCGGCAGAGCAGACGCTGAATGCGCACTTTCATCTGGTTTGGTCTGCCGCGGTTTCCGTAGACTCGTGAACGCGCTTTTAGGAAATCCTATACACTACTGTTTAGGCTCTAAAACGTTCTAAATGACTTCGTTTCGAGTAAATTATGGACACTACCCACTCAGGACACTTGGAATACATTGGACGAGTAGTATGGAGGAATATTGACACGTTTTTTGTGGACTTTTATGGACCTTTCTGCCTCAGGCACCATAGACCTCCATTATTTGAATGTCAGCAGACAGCAAGAAGCCTCCCAGATCTCCAGATGCATTTGAGATATCAAAAAAGTACTCCAGAGTGTTGTTCAGCATGGGGGTGAGTAGAAAATGAAAGCTAATCATGTTTTGGGTGTACTATTCCTTTAAGAAACCACATTGATGGCTTTGTTGTTAACAGAATCACTGCCAGTCTACTCAGCCTTTCTTCTGCCATGGAACATCTCGAATAGCTCTGTATTCATGTGAACCTGGAACAGCTCTACTCTGCAAATACATCACAGAGATACTGGAGGTTACCTTAGGGTAAAAAGCAGTAGGTTAGAAATTCAAATAGGGTGATCTGTGCTTTGCACTGCAAAAAGTGTCCATCCTACTAAGTCTTACGATGTTAGATTTAGGCTAAAAGTCTTTCTGAACTTTTTGATTGATATTCATAGCAACAACAGTTTCTGTTAGATTATTAATCATCCTTTAAGAAGATTCTACTGAGAAATAAATGCAATAATCTCCAAGTAAATCAAGACAGGTAGAAAGCATGATATATATTCTCAAAGAAAGATAATATATATCTATAGAATCCCTATTTTTAGAACCAGATGTTCACATAAACCCCTTAAGTGGACATAACTTTTCATGTCCCTCTGATTGCCTTTCTTATTCCTGCTCAGCCAGGAGTTGCATCGTTATGTCACTTTGTTTAGTGTCAGAATAACAGTAGAAATTATTTCCTCAAAATCAAAAAATGTTGGTTGTGTCGGAAAAAAAAATAATAATAATTTCTGCTCTCAAATGTTCTCCAGGGCTCAGATCAAACCTCTAAGATGTGGACATTCTTGTCCTGCAGACATCTTTTAACTTACCTGGAATGCTAAAGCACATCATCCATAGACAAACTTCAAAACTGTAGCTTCAACTTCGTTAAAGCCTTCAGATTTAATTCAATATTTCTATGTAATGTTCTGCCTTGGAGACAAATTTGTTCCACCATTATTGAAAACACAGAAGATGTTTGAAAAATGAGATGAAGAAAAAAAACTGTGTTTCAATAATGAAACTTTGTGACCCTGAAATTTTGCCCAGAAATGATGTGGGTGAAATCCTTAAAACAGGGTTTTTAAAGAATATAGTTGGAACTTTTGGATATGCAATAAGTATGACTCTCAAAACCATATCGATAGAGAAATCTTTTTAAAGTTCCACTTTTAGAACTTTTTTAGAACTTTTTTTTTTCTTTTTCTGGAATGTGTTTTGCTTTTATTAATATTGGAACAAATCTCTCTCCATTCATCAGTCCATCTTTCAGTAAATCTTTTGAGTAATTCACTCCCACATCCTGATGCTTCCACCTCTGTGCTTTAGAGTTGGGGTGAAGTACAGTGGTGTTCTCTTTGTATCATGTCCTTCTTAATGTCCTTTAATTTCATCAGAACTTGTCTCCAGAAATCAAAGTCCAATTACGACGAATTAAATAGGGGTTTGTTTAGGTCTATTTACATATTTTAAACCAAAAACTCTCAGGGATCAAAGAACAAAGGTCCCATCTAAACAGGATGATGTTCATGGTTGTTACATTTTTTTCCAGGTGAAAATCAGACCTTCAGGTGTTTAAAAATCAGACCCATGGATGAAACAGACCTGTTCAGCTCAATAGATCTGTTCCCAATAATCTGAATGTGTCAAAATATGTCCCTTCAGCAGCTAACTCTGCAGATCAAATATTAACATTTCTTTATTTTATTGATTTTGTACTGAAATCTGCTAAAGAAACAAAATCAGCCTCAGAGGTGTTGAGGTGCCGGATCATGGCCCTGACAGATTTAAGTACAAACATGATCATTAAAATTAGAAAAATATATATTTTTATACATACCGGTATTTGAAATCCAACCAGTGTATTTTAACTCCTTTTTGGTTTCAGCTGTACATGAAGATTTAAACTGTGACCTCTTCTTCCTCTTCTTCCTCCTCCTCACCTCTCCTACAGGAAGGAGAGATCCATGAGAGCCGGCCGACCTCCGCGGCTGCTGTGACGTCCACCCCCAGCAGCACCAAGGACTCCAAAACCAACATCAACAACGCCGTAGCAGTGCTGGGTACCCCTAAAGGAGCAGTCAGTACTTCCCAGAATCCACCTGGAGGAGGAGGAGGAGGTAAAAGCACGGAGGAGATGAGGAAGCTGTTCATCAACCGAGCCAAAAAAATCGACACAGTGTCGAGAGCCGGCTTCCCTCTGGCCTTCCTCTTCTTCAACATCTTCTACTGGGTCCTTTACAAGATCCTGAGACATGAGGACTTCCACAGGGCGTGAAGGAGGCTCCTCCAAGCGCCGTCCAGGATGGTCCCAACATCTTAGCTCTGAGGAGGTCCGACTGTAAAGCTTGGACCCTATTTATACTGACACTGTTAAGGTTTAAACTTTAAGATGTTTAGTTAAAAAAGATAACTGCCACGATAATCAGATCCAGCTTTATGGCCCCGGATGTTAAAATCCAAACCTCAGGAAGTGATGCTGAAGATCTGCAGGGTGAAGCTGCGTGATGTCACCACTTTTCTCCACCAAAGATAACCCAGCCCGGCGGATGGACAACAGGATTTCAGCTCCCAGCAGCGGGTCCAGTGAGGGACCGTTCCAGCCCTCAGATGGACCTCCTGGTACCTTTCAGGGGGTTTTGGGTCCAGATTCTTCGTTTATTCTCACTGGTTCAGTTCTGTCCCAAAGCTTTGCCCGGTTCTGACTGCGGCTCCTTGGTCATGTTTGTTCCTGCCTATGTTGTTTGTAAAACTCTCCTTGTGATTTATTCTGTCAGCGTTCGTTAAGGTCCGCTCGTTAACTACAGTCAGAGTCAGTTCTGGAACCAACAATACATCCAAGGTGCCAAACGGTTCCGGTTCCCTCTGCTGACTCCTTCAGCCGCCTGCTGCTCCTGGTTCAGGTTCAGCTGATGTTAGAAGGTTACCTGACCTGCAGCTCCTCTGACTTCTGGTTCCCTCAGCAGAGGGTCACAGATGAGGAGTTTCTCCTCCTTTGTGCCAAAGGTGAGACGTAAGGAGGTGGCCGCTCCTCTAAGGACTCAGATTTCCGCTGGAACAAGTTTCCTACGAGCATCCAGCAAATCTTTGTTTTTATCTCCAGGATAAAAGCTCTAATGGAAAAATCAGTTTACACAGTTTTCTCTGAAATGTGATTTTTATTTCTTCACAGCTCCTAAAGGCTTTATTTAAATAAACAGTTTAAGTATCTGTCATTTTAAGTATATTATATTATATTATACTACATTATATTATATAAATTATATTTTCTTTTATCTAATCATATTTATTTTTTATATTTTTCTTTGTTTATTTATTATTTTTTTAATGAACACTTCATTAGCAAAAAGAAAAAGGAACATATATTACAATTAACTTTGACCTAATATAAATTTAAGAAAATAATCAAATAGGGTTTTTTTTTTTTATGTGTTTGTATGTGTCTGCTTTTTTTGTAGATGTAATCAAAATATGAAAAAAGTAAAAATACTTTCGACTTAAAATGGAATTTTATAAAAATATAAAGCAAAAATTGTTGCAAAGGATTTATTGGATTTATAAACTAAAGTAAAAACTTACATTTTTTCCTCTTCTTAGTTTTTCCTTAATTAAAAATTGGATGATGTGTGTTTTGTTTGATTTTGTTTTTGCTGCAGTCAAAGCTTGATTATGTTTAAGGTTTGTTTTCAAACATCTTTATTGCTTCAAGAATCAATTTAATCAATTTCATAATTCAATGCATTGTCGATTTATTTTCTGCCTTTGATGCTAAACGTCGCCTCCACAGAAGAAGAGGCTGTAAAGATTTCTTTCCGCTGACCTGATTCAGTTTGTTTGTGGACATCTTTCACTATGACACAGAACACTGGACCTGGTTCTGTTTGCTTTCAGAATCCCAGCACTGGACCTTCCACATCTCAGACTAGATCTGCTCTCCAAGCAGCACATGTTCTGAAGGACATAACTCAATGGAGGTGATCATTGTTTGTAATTGCAGAACGTTTGCCTGCAGCTGCAGCAGAACCAGTGCAGGAAAAAGAACCAGGATTCCTAAAATAAAGAGATGTGACTTTTTGCTAAAAAAAATATGGCTCAAGACTGATGTTTTTCTGCACATCATGATGGTTTTATTTCTCCTTCCTGCACCAAAAGAAGATCCCTACCAGTAAAATATACAAGCTGAGCTTATATGAAGGAGAACTGTGCTGCTTTATTTCACAGTTCCATCACAGGCCGCTTCGTCTCTTCCCGCTTCCTCCAACTCAGGGCATTTCCTCTTCTGACTGAACTTCAACAGCTTTGGGTCGCTTGAGAAAAGTAGACTAGGCCTTCGATTCTTCTGGTTATAATAACCTGAAGACCCAAACCAGAAAACAACAAACATTCTTACTGGACATGAAATGTAGTTCATTTGTCTTCTCTCTAAGTAAATCTATTTTCCTTTGATTTGAAATGGAAAAGAAGAAAATTTTCTAATGTAATAATATTTAAAATGCGTACTTCAATTAAATTCACTTGATATATATATAGTGCCAATTCACAACACGTCATCTATAGACACTTTAAAGAAACAAATTAACAAGATCAAACAGTCAGATTGGTTTCAAGTTTTCTATCTAAGGTAAACCAGTTTTTTTGCATCAACTCATTGACTCCAAGGCAATCCCTCACACCAAGCATGCTTGTAGCGACAGTGGAGAGGAAACTCCCTTTTGACTGGAAGAAACATCCAGCAGAACCAGGCTTAGGGTGAGCAGCCATCTGCTGAGGCCGACTGGGGTTCACTGAGACACACAGCCAGGCAGACGAGCTCCAAGCCAGCCCCCATGTCAGAGGAAAGAGAGCACATATAGTTAGTCACTGTGAGTAGAAACAGGACTACACTGAAAAAACATCAAATAGAGTTGTTGATGGCAGCAGCACAGCTGATATTTCTCTCCAGAATGGTATCACAGCCAAACAGGAACATACTAGATGAAGGTACTTTGATGAGAAAAGCAGAGAGAGCATAACGTTAGAGATTGAACTTACAAATACTGTAGAATGGGATGATAGAGATAGAATGAAGCAGGATGAAGAAAAGGGATCCTAATTTTCTCCAGAAGTCTAAGCCTATAGCAGCATAACTACAGAGATACAGGATAAGCTGAGCTATCTTTAACTATAAGCTTTATCAAAAAGGAAAGTTTTAAGCCTAGCCTTAAAAGTAGACAGGGTGTCTGCCTCACGGACTAAAAATGGTAGTTGGTTCCACAGGAGAGGAGCCTGATAACTAAAAGAAATTCTAGGAACCACTAGTAAACCTGCAGATTAAGAGCGAAGTGCTCTGTTAGGAACATAAGAAACAATCAGATCTCTGATATAAGGCAAAGCTTTGCTATTTAAGGCTGTGTATGTGAGAAGGGTTTTAAATTCTATTCTGGATTTAACAGGAAGCCAATGAAGAGAAGCTAGGATAGGAGAGATATGATCTCTCTTTTTAAATTTCATTAGAACTCTGGCTGCAGCATTTTGGATCGCCTGAAGACTTTTAACAACAGTTTGTGGACTTCCTGACAGTAAAGAATTACAATAGTCCAGCCTTGAAGTAACAAATGCATTGACTAGTTTCTTATCAAAGAGGTTTCTAGAATCCTTTCATCTGCGGAATATTAGAAATTAGAAATATCCTGTCCATCAGTGTTAGGGGATTTAAATGACAGGCCCTGATAAAAAATGTTTTACTTTATTATCTGAGATCAATTTAATCCCATCCAAATGACTGACTAATCAGCTCCTTTTTCAAAGACTCTGGTCCAAAGACTATAACTGGAAGAAGCTGGAACCAGAAAGCAGGGTATTTTCTAGCACTAATACAGTTAGCATATGTACCAACTAGGGATGGAACTGTTTATGAAAACCGTCCGAACCGTTCGGTTCGACTGTCTGGGTTTGGTTAACGTGTTTTGCGTTGGGTTCATGCGCTACACCTTTTTCTCATAGGCGAAGCGTTTACACTCCAGAGCAGAAGGTGGCGGTACTGCGACCAAAGCCAACCACCAGTAGTAAACAAGAAGAAGAAGCAGCGTAGCCGGGTGTAGCAGAAAAAAATCAGTTGTTGTGGAGAATTGTGTGGGTATGGCGAGTGGGAAAGAACAGGAGTTGGAAGACGCGCCAGCAGCACTTTATAGGTCTGCTGTATGGGACCACTTTGCATTTAGAGTGACCTACGATGACGGCGGAAAGAAAGTTGTGGACAAAAACAGTGTGCAAGCATTGTGCAACACGCGCTGTACTATACAAGACATAATAGATTTTCCTAACAATCAACAGATAAAACCGTGACCACGAAACCGTAAACCGAACCGAACCGTGGATTTTGTGAACCGTTCCACCTCTAGTACCAACTGACTTTCTCAGCCACCGCTAGGAGTGATGCAGTTGCCCACAATCCCTTGCATTACAGCAGGGTTACAAGATCTAGCAACTTTTATTCGGTGTTAATAGAAACTTTGGCGACATAGAAGCACCGAACTCTGTCCTCCCGAGCGAATAGATCTTAAGCCCACCTCCCCCCCTCTCACTCTTCACTGTCATCATACACTGCAGCAGAGAGAAAGCTGTTGCTAATGCCAACACAGATTGCAAAGTGGAACCACGAAAATATTTTTTAACTGACACAGTTGTCTCACATTAAATAAAATTACTGCTCTTTCTCCCCCTTTCTGCTCCTCATGTCTCCATGTGTCTTTACACAATTTGTTTTTTTTTTTTGCAGTTGGCGAACAGCTGATGGGGCATTTGAACCAGTAAATGATATGTAGTTTGGAACTATATGGCTGAATTATATTTTTAATGTATTTTTCTTTACTTGTTTCAGTAAAAGTCTTCATAAACTATTTTTCCTTCCAGCTAGCCAAATATCTCTCTGTTCTGCTTTAACAGACAAACCAAAAAAAACAAAAAAGAATCTCCTGCAGATGGATGACATGAAATGAGCAAATTAGGCGATAGTGTCATCTTGCACCTTTTAGGGCAACCAATAGTGATTTTTCTTGCAAATACATGACTTCTTCACATGTCCTCGATATGTGACATGTTTAAATTCTTTGGCCTGATCAGTTAAAGCCATATCATTTTGCATTACTGCCCCCTGAAGGTAATAATAGGTACATCCAATGCACCATTGCCAGGGTTATTTGTTTTTAAATTACTGGGACACTTTTTCACGTGGGATAGGGGTTAAGTGTTGTTCATCCTGATAATGTGACTTAGTGTGACTTATGTGTGAAGGGGAGCTTTAGACGTGGACGAACTTTGGCAGGAAAACCACCTTAAACATCCAGCCTTGGTGGAAAAGTGCTCATGATTTCAGTTTTCCAGCTTCAGTTTTTCTTCACATGACAAAGAATCTTGTCATATTTTACAGAATGTCTCCACCCTGCTGAAGAAACATTCTTTGCAGACTTTGTTCCAGAAATGTTTCCAACCCTTAAGACACAGAAGAGAAAGCAAACAGGAGGACAGTTTTTTTCATTCCTTGTCTTGTCTATGATAGCTTTTTTTAATCAAACCACAGAGGAAACTAGGAACATTTGCATGGAGAGCTGTTGGTTTAGCTTGGCTGTGATTCTGTTGACTTAAGTACCGGTAACAATGTGTGAATAGACTCCCATTCTGGGTTTTAAAGGAAATTTCTGATTTCCTGTCAGCTGACGCTGCAAACACTGAGTTCGGGAGGGATTCTCACTGAAATTATCTTTACTTCTCTTTACATTGTTTAGCTTTAACGGGTTTCTGTCTTGGATCTAAATGAGACAACCTGTATAATATAATAATAAAGATTCAATTTAAAAATGAACAGATTTCTAATTTTTGCTCCAAACTTACAGGATTTCACGCCTGTTGGATTCTCACTGTGGTATCTGCTGATCGGGCCCAAATAGCAGAGCTCTTCCAGAGCTTTGGGGTTAGAATACGTACAAACACCATGTGAAATCCTGTTGCTAGAAAACATAAGCAGCTGCTCTCTGTTAGTTTCCTTTAGCACAGTTGGCTCTGAACCATCAGCCTGATGAGCAGCAGCATCAGAAAAATCTGCTCCTTAGAAAAACACAAATCCTCTGCAAAGAGCAGTTCTGTTTACTGTAAGTTGCTGTTACAGAAAATCCATTATAAAGAGATCAATGTTCAGAAATCCGGTATGAGGTTCTGCAGCGGTATGGAGTGAATTATGTTACATTATTATT